GTACTTCTGTGGTATCAGTTACAATGTTTCCTTTTTCATATATGATTTTTTTTATTTGGTCCTCTTTTTTTTCCTTGGTTAGTCTAGCTATAGGTTTTTCAGTTTATCTTTTCAAAGAACCAACTCCTAGTTATGGTAATTTTTCTATTGTTTTCCTGTTTTCTATTTCATTTATTTCTGTTCCAATCTTTATTATTATTTTTTTTCTGCTGCTAACTTTGGGCTCAGTTTGTTCCTCTCTTTTTAGTTCCTTAAAGTGCAGAGTTAGGTCATGTATTTGAGATATTTCTTGTTTTGTAAAGTAGGCATTTATTGCTGTGAACTTCCTAGAATTGTTTTTGCTGCATCCCAAAAGTTTTGGCTTGTTGTGTTTCCATTTTCACTTATCTCAACACTTTTAAATTCCTCTTTTAAGGTCTTCTTTGATCTATTAAATTATTCAGGACATTGTTTAATTTCTATGTATTTGTGAGTTTTCTGGTTTTCTTCCTTTTATTGATTTTTTAGTTTCTTGCCATTGTGGTGAGAGAAGATACTTGGTATGATTACAGTCTTCTTGCATTTGCTAAAATTTGCTTTGTGGCCTAAAACATGGTCTATTCTAGAAAAAGTTTCATGGGCTCTTGAGAATTGAATTCTGCTCTTTTCAGATAGAATGTTGTATATATATCCGTTAGGTCCGGTCTATAGTGTTCAAATCCACTGTTTCCATATTGATTCTGTCTTGATTTATCCACTATTGGGAGCGGGGTATTAAATTCCCCAAAGTATTTTTGTATTGATGTTCACTTTTCATTTTAGTTCTGTTAATTTTTGCTTTATAGACTTAGGTGATCCGAAGTTGGGTGCCTAAATATTTACAATTGTTATATTTTCTTGATGGACTGATCCCTTAATCGTTATATAATGACCTCTGTTTCTTTTTTACCATTCTTGGTTTAAAGTCTATTTTGTCTCATTTAAGTATAGCTACCTCTGTTGTTATTGTTGTTTAAAAAAAAGATTTTATTTATTCATGAGAGACACAGAGAGAGAGGCAGAGACGTAGGCAGAGGGAGAAGTAGGTTCCACGCAGAGAGCCCGATGCAGGACTCAATCCCAGGATCCTGGGATCATGCCGAGTTGAAAGCAGATGCTCAACCACTGAGCCACGAGGTGCCCAATCTGCCAACAGTCTTAACGAGGTTTTCTCCTATGTAACTTTTCTCTAGCTGCTTTCAAAATTCTTTGTCTTTGATTTCTACAATTTAATTATAATGTGTCTCAGTGTATCCCTACTCAGATTTAACCTGTTTAGGGTCCTTTGTATTTCGTGGATCTGGATGTACACTACTCTTCCCAGATTTGAGAATCTTGTGGCCATTATTGCTTCAAATATACTTTCTGTCCCCTTCTCTTTCTCTTTTCATGCTGGAATTACCATAGTGCAGGTATGGGATTTCCTTACTCTTTTCCGTTCTTTTTGACTTTTGCTCCACTGACTGGATAATTTCAAATGTCTTGGCTTCTAGACCACTGAATGAGTCTTCTTTTGAAGCTCCCTATTGAATTTTTCATTTCAGTCATTGTAGTTTTCTTTTTTTTTCATTGTAGTTTTCAATGCAAGGGGGGTTTTTGTTGGATTTCTTTGATGTTTTTTATTTCTTTGTTGAATTTATCATTTTGTTCATACAGTGTTGTCTTAAGTTTATTTAGTCACCTCTCTGTGTTCTTGCAGTTTACTTCTTTAACAAGATTATCCTGAATTCATCTGACACTTATAATTCTCCATTTCTTTAGGATAGGTTATTAGAGTTATATATATATTTGTTTCCTTTGGTGATGTCATGTTTACCTGATTTTTTTTTTGTGATTCTTCATTTTTTATGTTGATATCTGCATGTTGGAGTAAATGATCTCCTTTTCCAGACTTTACTGGTTCACTTCAGCAGAGATAGTTCTTCAACAGACAGTGCAGTTCAGGTTTCTAAATGTGTCTGCTGTCATGTCCTTAGACAGGTGAGGCTTGTTATCAGAGTCTATTTTAGGGCAGGGCCGCTGACTGAGCTCTGAGGTCAGGCGTTTGTTGCTGCTAGTGGCTGAGAACCATGGGCTTAGTTGTCTCCCGACATGAAACTGTGGAACAGGGCTGCAGTTGCCTGGGTTCTCTAGTCAGGCTCACTGGAGGATTGGGACTGACACTATATGCTGTAGTAGGTGGGGCTGTGAATCAGTTTCCCTGCCCTGATGTGGCAGAAAAATAGGTCTAGGGTCAGCACGGCTCATTGTTTGGGGATATGAAGCAGGAAAGACTATGCACTGAATTCCATGGCCAGACAGGGTCACTGGGGTCTTGCTCTGTAGATGGGGAGAACCATGGGCTGTGTTCTCTGCTGAAGTGTCACCATCGCCATGGCTGCTGGGGAGGCTTCTGTGGTCTCCTGTGTGCCCCAGTTAGGTTCCATGGAAGGGGAGGCTGAACGCTATATGAACAGGTAGGGCTGTGGATGAATTTCCTTGCCTGGGCAGAGCCACAGAACCAGCTACAAGACCTTAAGGCTTTATTTGTGCTCTTGGCTCAATTCAACCCACACCAGAAGTTCCTTGGGCAAAAGGTGTCCCTAGCTTTCCTTTGCAGATGACCAACTGTGCACACCAGAGCATCTGTTCAAGTGTTGCTGGTCTGTGCAGTTTCCTGAGGGTTCAGCTAGGCTTTCTGGTTAAGTGGGCAAGGAGCTATGGGTGGGCTGGGGCTTAGCAGTGGGTGGGGCTATGAATGAGTGAATGAACTGGCTGGGCAGACTAGGAGAGGCAGCTCCAAGCAGTCTTGCAGATATTCGTGGTAAGGCTTTCTGGTCAGGAGGGGCCTGGAGCCTCACTCAGCAGAGTGTGTTGGGTGGGGTTGGGGACTATGAATTAGTTCCCTGACTAAGCAGAGCATGAGAACTAGGCTCCCAGGCCAGAAGAACTCTTTGTGGTCTTAAATCAAGCGTCAACTTGCTCCCCAAAGTTTGCTGACCAAATGGTGCCTCTGGCTGTTCTCTGCAGATGATCAGGTCTGTTTGCTGTACTCTCTGCTCAAGTGTTGTTGGCTATGCAGCTTCCAAGTGTTCTAGATAGGGTTTCTGGAGCTACGCTCAGCTCCCATGCCTGGGTGGGAGCAGACCAGGCTCTCAGGCCACACAGAACATCTACTGAATGACTGAAGTCATTTATTGAATGATTGACTCAGGGCTGGTTTTCCTTTCAGTTCCTCCAGGATTTTCTCATCCTTAATCTTATTTGCTCTGCATCCCTGGCTCAGTGCAAGCACCAACCCACATACCTGACTGCAGTTGCACCAACAATTTCAGTTACGTGAGACTTTACTTCCCTATTTATCTTCCTTCACTAAAGGGGAAAAGGTTTTTCAAGCCTTGGTACAAACTTAGCCTAATCAGAAACCATTCCATGTAATTTCCAGCATTTCTACCTTCTGCAGTCCAACCCTCCAAGGGTAGTTAAGCTCCCTGATACCTATGAATTGTGAGGTCACAGACCTGCCATTTCATATCTGAGTGAAATGGCTTTGGGGAGGGCAAGGAGGCAGGACAGCTCCAGAGCCTTGGAATAGGTAATAATGAAATGGGGTCCATGATGGTTCATTCCTCACAATGCAGCACTTCCTAGGTTGGTCGCTAGAACCCTGCTTTGTAGCCCAGGAGGGTTGGACCCTAAGGGAGAAGTACCCCTATGATAGGGAAGACCAGAATGGTCAGATACCCTGTCAACTTGGGGAGCTCAGTTTTAGAGTTTCAAAAATCATCATTTCATGATCCTGTGACCTAGGGCTCATGAAAGGTTGGAGAGTCTGGTATTGAAATCAGGTCCTTTCAATAGGAAGACCACGAAGTGGTACTGAGAGATGTCTGTGTGACTCTGAGGGCTGTCTTGCTGGGCTCACACTGAAAAGATCCAAGGATGACAAGAGAACCCTTCTCAGGGCACACACAGCAGAGTGACGAGGACGAGCAGATGGTGTCAGGGGGTGAGAGCCCAGAATGAACTGAGGCTATTGAGGAGCGCGGAAGGACAGCAAAGGGTCCCTTAAACAGGCACGGGAGCAAGGAGAACAAGGGCTGCATAGATCCATGGAACGTCATGAGTGTATCCTCCAGGTGCAAAGGCAGTAGGTCCACATAGGAAGAAGGAGAGGGGCAGCACCAAACAGCTGTGTTCTTGACCTAGAATGCACTGGCCAGGGCATGACCCGACCCCGGAGATGACATCACATACCCGCATAGGCCATCTGAGAGGTGGATCACAGGAGAGGTGCATGAAGCCTGGAGCTGGATGAGACTCAGAGTCTGACATTGACCCTGGGAAAGGCCCGTGAGTCCTGTGACAGGAAGAGATGAGCATCTGGGGCTTGCATGGGCTCCTTGGGGACAGGTCACATCTGGCCACATCAGGCCACATCATTTTCTTCTCCTCCTTCTCATTATCACTATTAAATATTCATCATCAGATTTCTTCCTCCTTCTGTTTCCATTATTAAGACTTAGATAATACCACGGGTAGAGCTAGAAGTTGGATGGATATCTAAAACTGCAATTGGAAGAATCCAGACCCACAGCAGTCTCAAGAATCTGGAAGGCAGTGCTGTGTTTGGCATTTGGAAGTTTGAGGGTGAATGCACATGTAACTTCCCTCCTGCAGTTACTGTAAAAATTGTGTGCAATAAAGTGTGTTAAGCCTCTGGCATGTAGCCATTTACACAGTCAATAAATGGGGACTTCTGTCCCCCTTCAGGGCCATCTGGTAGAGGAAACATCATTATTCCCATCTTTTCGATGAGGAAACAAGCATTGGGAGGTTAAATAACTTGCCCAAGAGATTAAGTAACAGCCAGGGAGTGGGGAAAGAGGTTGTATTCATATTTCAAAGATGTTTTGGGCTTTTTCCAAAGAGCAAAATTTGGCCCAAAGCCCACACACCCAAGCCCTTCACAACTGATGAAGAGCAAGCTGTGGGGAGTGGGAGGCATCCATGTCTGCATCCAGAGGACACCAGGTGCGTTGTCCTGGCGGGAGCAGTATGAATATATCTCATATAGTAGAGTCACGGCCTGCAGTGGGGGTTCACTAGGATGAAGTTGAAGCATGGACACTGTCGGGAAGAGGAGAGACAGGAGGTCACTGAAAAGGCTTCGGAGATGGAAGCCGAAAGCGTTGGTGCCCTCAGCCAAGAGGGTTCAGCCTCACAACCCCTCAGGACTGACATGGTAGGACTTGTTGATACTCTCCCTCTCCCCGGGTGCTGGCCTCCAGGTGGGGCTGCCGCTTCAAGACCCAGTTCAGGTGCGGGAGCCTGCCCTGCCTCCCCCAGGCAGCCCCAGGGGCTCTGACGCTGGGCTCCCTCTGTTCTGGTTTTGAACTTGTCTGCTCCCCCCTGGCCTGGGAGCCTCAGAAGCCAGAGCAAAGCCTGACAGCCACAGCACACGAGCCTTGCCCAGAGCCTTTTGGCAACTGTGTGCTGAAGAACCGAGTCCCGACCACAACCCTGAGGCCAGGCTCTGGGCCCCCAGGACAGGGGCAGCTGGAGGCACCTCGGATGGGCGATGGGCTGTGCACGCAGCAGCAAACGTGAACCCCTTGGTTTGCGAAGAGAATAATCCAGATGCTTCGGGACAGGAACGTCTGGCCCTGGGGCACAGTAAAACCACCCCTTCCCGCCCCGGGCCCAGAACAGCTGAGGACTCACGGCGGAGCGGGCCTGGGCACACCGGCCATCCGACAGCATGTCTGGCCCCTCTAGCTCCCGGAAATGCACATAGTGGTAAGGAAGGGCCTGCATCTTCCCCAGGCAGCACACCTGAGAGGAGAGACACTGTGTCGGCCTCTCCCAGACCCCCACTCCCTTCCAGGGAACGGTTCTTGTAGGACCACAGGGTCTGCCTCTAATTCAAACGAACTTACTGGCACAGCAAGGCGGCCACCCCTTTAGGGACACTGAGGGGGTAAAGCCCCTGGGCTGGCCCTTCCTTGGTGTGGTCCTTGCACACCCCACACACCATGTCCACCTGCAGCTCCAGGTCCCCATGAGCTTCTGCTCATTATGTGATGGGAAGGGTGCAGCAGAGCAGGGGTGCTGGGCTTGCACATCGATGGATGCAGGGGCCAGGAGCAGGGAGCACTGGGAACGTGCACGTCCAGATGTGGAAATGGCAGGAGAGGGACTGTCCCAGCTGGACCCTCCAGAAGAAGCACGGTCCTGGTGGGAACTGGGAACTGGATGTCTGCTCAGGAGGACTTCCAGCCTCCAGAACTGGGAGGACTCCAGGACTGAAACCTGCTGTCTGTGACACGTTAGAGCAGCCACGGGGAAGGACGGGCCCAACACCAACAGACAGTAAACACAGAGCCATTCAAACCCTGGAGGAAGAGCAGACCTGGCGAGAGCACAAGCGTGTTCAGGCTCCGGGTTCCTGCCGAGTGTTCAGCACCACACACGCCATTCCCTTGCCAGCCCCGGTGCTGTCGTGCGTGTTCCCTGAGTGGCTCAGGCCGTGAGGATGGTCTCCCCAAGGAAGGAGGTGGGCAGGCTCAGGAGGCCGGGGAGGCAGTGCCTGTCCCAGCACAGCCACCTCCTGCCTGAGGGGCCCTGCACAGGCCGTGCCCCTCAGGGTCAAGTGGGGGGCACAGAGGGTAAGGAGGGCACCCAGGCCCCCAGGCCCTGTCAGGGGCTCCTGCTCTGCTCAGGATGAGCGGAGGGACGTCAGGCAGCCCTGGGGGCTGCACCTGCTCTCCTGTCGCCTCCGCCTCTGTCATGACCGCTCAGACTATGTTCTGCCATCAGCAAACAAACGTCCCCGTCCCTGCCCCAGAGAGCCCTGGGCCGACTCCGGGGCTGGACGGCAGGGCCCTGGCGGCGCTCTGGAGGCTGTGAGGGCCCCCCAGGCAGGACCCGGAGTGCTGCCCCCCTCCAATGGGGGTCTTGAGGCAGTGACCTTGGGAAGGTGGCTCAGCGCCCTGCCTTCACTGGCTGGGTGACCCTCCCTCGTCCTCCAGTGCCTCAGGTCTCCCTCTACCTCTTGTCTGTCCTCTGCCCCACATGGGCATTGCTGGGGGGGTTTGGGGCACAGGGCAGGTGTGGTGCTCAACTGACCACTGGGGCTGCAGTCCCGGGAAGAGGCTCCCGGAGAACCACAGGAACAGGCTTCTGTGCAGACCTGGCCAGGACCGAGAACCCTGCTGAGACCCAGAGCCGGAGCCCCGTCCCCACAGGAGCCCTGGCACACCTGACACCAGACCACGGCCCTGCTGGGGGCCGCATGCCTGTGCTGTGTCTCCTCAGCGGTGCCTCGAGCCCCCCAGGCCTGCCCGGGACCCCTAAATGCAGCCTCACGGGAGACCCTGGGAACCCCCACGACCTTAGGCAGCTGGCCCAGTCTGAGCCAAGGGTCTGAGCACAGGGAAGCCAGGCGGGCCAGGAGCAGGCGCTTCACGGGCCTAGGCCTGAGCCTGTGGTGGTTTTGGGGTAACCGTCATGAGGTCGTGAGTGCCGACCTGATGGGGGGCAGGGTGGTGAGAAGGGAGGAGCCAGACCCCAGGGTGCAAGGCCTGCTGTGCCAGTCCCAGGCTCTGTGGCCCGGGGCAGGTCACTAGGCCTCTCTGGGCCTGGCTAACCCCTCGGCTAAACGGACATATTGGGAGAACCTGCACGTGGAGTCGTCGGCAGGACTACATAGGGAAAGTGTGGGAAGCCCTCGAGTGGTGGCTGGGCGCAGGAGGACCCAGACCAAGTAGCCATCACTGCCCCCAATTCCAGGGGCACCTGTGACAAGCTGGCTCTCCTCACCGTCCCCGGCTGCGACACGGCAGGGACACGACTACCTGGTAGCAGCATGTGGGGGCCGCATGTCCTGCAGGAGGCCCAGTGGGGTGAGCCGCCCAGGGGGTCTCGGGTGGGAGCAGCCAGCAGATCCCGGGCAGGGGGCGCTCACCAGAGGGACGCCAATGGGGGCCAGGGGAGTTCACTGGCCAGACGCCCTCTTGGGCTTCTCTGACATAAATGGGAGGCTCTGGGCCTCACCACCCCTAAGAAAGCACCCATTGCCATGGGGATGACCAGCAGGAAAATGCAGGTGCGGAGCCCGGGACTGGCCTGGACGGCTCACGGGCACCACCTCTCCTGTGTTGGCAGATGCCCAGACACGGGCTCTGAGCCACCGACCCATCGTGCCGCTGTCACAGGCAAAGAGCAAATATGCCCCTGCCCGTGGAAGCACCCCTGGGCCCGCTCACCTTGCTCCTGGGCTGATGCCACAGCAACGGCATCTGATTGCAGCATTGAACAAAGTCACACAAGGTGTCCAGCTTGCCCTGAAAAGCAGACGTGACCGTGAGGGAGCTCCAAGGCACAGGGTGCCCTGCAGAGGCGTGGAGCCTCCCTGGCGTGATGCCCCAGAGCGCCCTGGCCACGGGCACACATTGAGGTCGCCCAGCAGCCCCCACGGGGGGCAGGGCCTGGGGCCGGCATCACTTCCGTCACAGATGATCCTGGGACCTGGAGCACGTGCCCCTCATCCTGGGCGCCTGGGCCTCCCCAGCCCTGTGCTCAGGGCCCCCTGCAGGGCCGGGAGCCCCCTCAAGGACAGGGCCCTGGCAGGTCCCGGCGTAAGGACCTCTCCTTCAGGCCCCAACCTCTGGGAGGCCCTGGTCCCCCCACCTCACTGGGCCCCGAGGACAACATCGTCAGCTCCATTCTCACCCTGCGCAGCAGACTCCCGCTCACAGGTGCCGCTGTCATTTCTGGGTACTTTTAATAGGGGAACGACCTTGCTCAGGATTTTCCTATAAAACTGTCTCTGACCCATGGGAGCCTGTTTATGACCGGGCTTGTGTTTGCTCATCCCCCTGCTGGCCAATGAAACTGCGGCCACTGTGGGAGCTGCTGATGCCCCCGAGAGCCCAGGACTGGTGGGCTGCAGCCAGCCGCCCATATCTGCAAACCCGGAGCTGCCCAAAGGGGGACCCTGGGCCCCAGGATCGTGATGCCCTTTGCCCTCTGGTGCAAGGGATCAGGTCAGTGCCCAGAAAGGTTGTCTCCCCCAAAACCACAGTTCATGGGATGCATGACCTGGCTGTACCCCATCCCTCAGCCTAGCCTGGGGGTCACAGCACCCCCAGGGCCCCTCTCACCTCTATCCGTCTCATGTTGTTCTCCTGGAACCTACAAGAGGGGAGGGTCAGCCTGGTACATGTGTGTGTACACATGTTGGAGTCCTAGAAAGAGAAAGCACACTTTGCTTTGTTAGGGAGCTCCAGGGTATAGACACCCGACACCTGTTGTTAGCACCTGTCAGTGCCCACTCAGCAAATGCGGAGGGCTGTTGGGGGCACGTGCAGGGCACTGGGCTGCATCCACCTGACCCAGGGAGCTCCATTCTCAGCAGGTGACACTGCACCCTGTTCTTGAACCGCCCCGGGCAGGGAGGCCTGTGTCCTACCAGCTCTGAGGCTCAGGTGCCCTGCTCAGGATGCGGTGTCCCCACCCAACTACTTCTCCTGGGGCTGGCCTGTTCCCCTGCCCCTGCTCTGTGCTCACCTGGGCGGGGCCTGCCTCACAGCTGGATGCCAGGTAACACACCCTCCAACCTCCCACCTGCAGTCCCTGACGTCCAACCCCAGCCAAGCCCCTCTCCTGCCAGGGGACAGGGGTGGAGATCAAGGAAATGCAGCCCAACATACACCAGAGCCGAAGGGGAGATCGGGTCCTGAGGCCAGAGGCTCTTTTCCCAAAAACTCACAGGAGACCTGGGGCAGCAGCGCCCCACACTGTCCGTGGGGAAGTGACAAAGCCCCGTTTCTTTGGGTCACTGTGCCTGCTGCCGCAGGCTACCTCCAGTGTGGGTTCAGGGGCCCAGGCCCCGGAGCAGCCACGCTGCTGACTGGGGAAGGGCTAGAGTCCTCGAGTCCTCCCCAGGCCCCCTGCCCCCCGGGTAGGGCCTCCCTCTGCTGCCCTCTCTGCAGGTAGCTGGGAGGTGGCAGGGCCGGGGCGCAGGGTCCCACAGGCAGCAGGATCCCCTGGGCAGAGGTTGGCGTGGGTGCCGGGCACGCTGACCATCAGGCCCAACGGCAGACTTACCCTTTGTATTATCTGCACTGCTGGTAGCTCCTTGCAAGGCTGGAATGTCAAAGAGACAGGAGCGCGGGTTGGGGGCGTGCGGGGCCGGCTCCACGTCACACAAGAGCCCTGCTCAGCAGCGGGGGGCACAGCAGGGGCTCCGGGGAACCCTCTGCCACCTCGTGCCTGCGGGTCTCGGCCCAGCCGCTGCACCGCCCTGAGCCTCAGGCTCCCAGGGCATCAGGGGGGCAGGACCTGCTGGAGGTTGGGCTGGGAGACGCGCCCTGGGGCGCCTGGTCCTTCCCGGCAGAGGCACCCCAGCCAGTGGTTAGGTCAGCAGCTTGTCCATCACGGGAGATGGGAGCTCTCGCCTGCTCCCACTCCTCCCACCCACAGCCATCCTCCTCCCCGGCCTCCCCTGTGGGATGGCAGCGCCCACGCCCTCTCCGTGCCCGCACACCCCTCACAGCAAGGGGACCGCCTTGTCCTGCTTCTGTGCTCTGTCCTAGCCTCCCTCTGCCGCTTCTCCCCTTGCACCTGCTCTGGCCCCGGGCCTGGCAAACCCAGCAGCCAGGTGTCTGCCCCGCTCCCCCCCCCCACCGGGGCCACTGCCTGTCCTCTGCTGGGGCTCTGCTTGCCACGTCCCTGCAGGTGACCTTTTTGCCCTCCAGCCCCAGGTACCAATAGCAGGGCAGACACCAGGCGGTGAGCTCCTGGGGGCCCGGCCGGGGGCAGCCGCAGTCCTGTCTCGGGTGCCCAGCATGGGGCCTGCACCCTGGCCCTTAGTGATGGCTGAGGAAGACGGGCCGGACCCGGGGAATGCAGGCAGAGACCCCGTGGGTGTCCGGGGCTCACTGCCTCAGAGGCCAGGGATCCTCTTGGCCAGCAGGACCCCCTTCGGGGCCCTCAGTGCCTCCCGTAGGACCTGGCCCCTTCCTTCAGCACCAGAGGCCTCCTCCCCACTGACGCTCCCGAAGCCGGGCTGCTGGGAGGCCTCCCTGGGGCCCGGGCCCTGCAGTGGCTTCTCCCCAGCAGCCAGGGCAGCTCACAAGCACTTGCAAAAACATGCAGGAGGCAGGTCGAGCCTTAGATGGGGGAGGAGTCTCTGCTTTGGAATAGAAGCCAGTCTGCTCATGTGATGACCTGGGAGCTGATGGGAACCTGCCCACGGGCGGATCTCAGGGTGGGGGGCCCAGGTCCCTGTGGTCTGGGGAGGGCCTGTGTCACAGGCTGTGCGGGCAGGGCCCACTCACCCTCAGGCAGCAGTAGAAGCAGCAGAGTACCAGAACGATCACACCCAAGGTTAGGATCACCAGTGCATATACGTCCTCTGTGACGACCATGGGCACTGTGGTTACAATGGCCTTCGGTGTGGTTTTTGGTCTGATGCCTGTGGGCCCCAAGTGATGTGGAAGGATGTCTGTGTTCGCCGTGCTCTCCTGTTTGACAACTGAGATGGTCTGCATGGTGGTCACGGGCTCCGTGGTCGACTGTGTGGTGGTCAGGGCGTCCGTGGTTGTCCGCGGGGTCTCTGCGGTGGTTACTGTGGTCTCTGCTGTGGCGACTGTGAGCACCGTGGTCTCTGGCTGGTTGTCTACATCTTGTAACGGATCATCCTGTAACAAAAGCTCACATGTCAGAGACGAGGGTGGGCAGGAGTGGCCTCCTCCCGAGTGTGTCCCCAGGGACTCCACGCCAGGTCTCCCCGCCTGCCTGCCCCAGTGGCCTCAGGTTTCCCCACCTGCAGAGAGCACAGAGCACCAGGAGGCTGGGCTGGACCCTGAGGCACCCTGGCAGCCCTGAGCCACAGATGGCCCCGCTGGCCCTGCTCAGAGACTGGGCCCCGCAGCCCGACAAGGGATCAGGGTCCCTGTGCTGTGACAAGGCCAGTCCTCCCTGCGTGCCTCGGCTGACGGCGGTGTGGCCCTGCCCGGAGCCAAGTGGTCTGCTTTCCCAGGGCCAGGGAGCAAGTGGGGAGCGCGTCTGAGCCCCAGGGATGGGGCAGCTGAGGGGAGGCAGGGTCGGGCCCGTGGGGCTATGGGGGGCTGTGGCTCCTCCTGAGTCCCTCGGGCATGTGCCTGCCGCGGGCGGACTCCGGGGGGGGGGTCTCTGAGGGGCAGGTGCGGGCACCATGCAGACTCGGTCAGGGGCCTGTTGGCGCTGCCGGGATCCTCCCGGGCCGGCACTGGACGCTTGGTGGTGGCAATAGGGCACGGCCGCCCCTCATCCCAGGCACGGTCTTCCCCACTGACGCTCTCGCCCATGTCCCGCTGCCCTGCCCCCGTGCCCACATGACCTGCTGCTCCGAGGAGCGAGCACCTGGGAGCGGCACCTTCCTTTCCACGGGCCTGTCCCCGAGTGGAGCCCCTGGCCCTCCAAGCAGTCCTGGGGCTGCCCCCCGCGGCAGGACAGCAGGGGCCTTCAGAGGTCAGGACAGGTGGCGCAGACGGACAGCCGAGGAGCATGAGAAAGCTGCAGAGGCAGGGGAGGCTGAGGCCCTCTGCCAAATGACCGGGGGTGCCCCATGCGGGCCTGGGCTCGGGGCCGTCAGCAGCTGCCCACATGCCCTGGAAACACACCCGGCTGCACAGGCCTGCAGCTGGCCCCCCGCAGACCTCTGCCTGGGGCCTGGGCCTGCAGTGCCCCAGTATCCCCCAGGTCCTGGACTCGGCCCCTCACACACAGCGCCCAGCCGGGATGCAGGGTGGGGCCCCGAGCTCCCCGGCACTAGCCTGGGCTGGGGCAGGTGGCCAGGGGGCAAGCAGGTGTCACAGCCTCAGCACCACCTCTAGAGTCTGCTCGGAGCTCTGATGGTCCCCTTCCTGTGCCCCCAGGACCCTTGGCTCACAGAGTGTCTGCAAGGCCTGCACAGGGGGTGTGTGTGGGGAGCTCTTGTGGGGCGCTCCAGGGCAGCTCCAGCCTGAGTGTGGGGACAGCTTGCTGACGAAGCACTGAGGGCCCCAGGCGGCCTGCACCAGCCACTCCCCCAGGTCCTCAGTCGTGAGCCCTGCTGACTCCCCGGGTGTGTGCTCCTGCAGCACAGCCCTCTGAACAGCCCAGGAGGGAGGCTGAGCCCCACCTGGGCACTCACACAGAAAATCGCAGTGATCTTGAGGTTGCCTTCATAGGTCTTGCCATTGTCCAGGCTGTAATCACTCTGGAGCACCCTAAGATACAGAAAGGTCAGGTGGTGAACTCACCTGGATAGGCATTATCCTTGTACGTGGCTAAAACTAGAGCCACAGTTCTTCTCAGCATAATGAGTTTGATCTACAGGTATTGGGGCCACCAGGGAGCACACGGCCTGGTTCGGGGGGCTGAACCTATGCATTGCAAGGTCAACCTCTAGGTAAAGGCTGAGCAGGCATGAGGAGCGCTGATGGGGTCAGAGGTCTTCACTGTCATGGGCCAAGTGCCCAGGAAGGGCGGCTTGGTGTCCCCATCCTGCTTCTTCTCTATTTATAGAGTATGCTCTTTATCTTTGAAAGGCTGCCTGGAGCAAAGGTACAGCCCTGGGGCACCTTCTCCCAAATTCTATCCTCCTTAGGAACATCTGGGTCATAGGGAATCTCTGATCACCTCTGGGGAAACACCTCGGGCAGAAGCTGCACCTGCCAGGGCCCTCCCACAAACAAACACATGATGACCTCAGCACCCACGTTCTGTACATCTCAGGATGGTAAAAAGAAAATGAAAAATTGCTCATCTGTTCGCAACCTTGGGCACTTACTCTCCATCCTTCTGAAATTCGTGTCTTGGGCAAAATATATTGTTTTGACTTATACGGTAGGGTTTTTTTTCTAAAAGAGAATCAGGAGGGAACACTGTCAGGGGGTGCAGCCGTCCCCCTCCTCCCCTCCTGCCAGATCCTGGGAGCAGAGCTCACTCTCTGGCGCACACACTGGCTCTCTTCCTGCCTTCCCTGTCCCCCTGCACACCAGGCCCGGGGAAGTGCTCCGGTTGGAAGGGAAAGGGCCGAGGGCCGCTCCCAAGGACCTCAGCTGGGAGGGCCTGGAGGGAGAGGGACCGTGACATAAGCAAGAACACAAGAATCGCAGAGTGACAAGTGCTGCCACAGCAAGAAGCCCCGGGAGGCCCTGAGAGGGGAAGGGGAGGCCAACCCCACGAAGACGCTGACCTGCAATGACGTGCTGGCTGCAGGCAGCTCTGCCTTGACCAGAGGGCCCTGAACACCATGTACTGGGGTCCAACGGCCACGGGGGCGGGGGGGCTAACTGGAGGAGCTGGGCAGCACACACAGGGGCCCCAGCCCCGCCTCTGGGGAGGCCACAGGCCCTCCGCGCTGAGGGCACATCTGCCTGCCGCTCGTGGCTTCCTCAGGCCACCCGGCCAGCACACGGGTGCAGCTCCCAGTCGCCTGCTCACATAGGCCACGTGGCTCAGGTCGCTCAATGCCACCCGGGCCCCGTGTCACAGGAGAGAAAAGACGAGCCAAGAGCAGGATCCCCATGTGGTGAAAGTCACCCCGGGACGTGTGCCTGCGCCAGGATCCCGGGGCCCGGGCCTGGCAGCTGGCGCCCTCTCTCAACCCTGGGACCGTGCAGACACTCCTGGGAAGGCCCGTGCACCTGGCCCCGAGGGAGCCTCGGGCCTGGGGTCCTTGCTGCTCAGGGCAGGATGGGCACGCAGCTCTGGGGCACGGGTGGCAGCCAGAGCCCCCTGGCAGGGGTGAAGCCCTGCTCCAGGAGGCTGTGGTACTGCCGGGGGCTGAGGACCGCCCAGCTTCGGGTCCAGGTGGCCAGGTTCCCAGCAGGGGGCCCTGGCACTGCGTACACGGCCCTATGCTCACCATGTCCACAGTGAGGGGACAGTAGGGCTCGAGAGGCCTGGCGGCTGGGGGAGGGCAGCCCGGGGGGAGGAAGCCCCGGGGGAGGGGGCATATGTCACGTGGAGGCACCAAGGGGGCTGCTTACCATAGACACTGTTGTCTTTCAACTTATATCTGCAAAGAATTTCATCCTTCCTGCTTTGATAGGAGCTGGGTATTCTGTACCGTATACTGTAGTCTTCTGAAAAGGCAACATTCAAGGGTACGTGTGATGCAGGGCTGAGGCTGCCTTCCCTTGGTCTGCAGGAATAGCAGGTCATGCCAAGCCCCATCCCCAGGGACTTCAAATGAAGAAGCAACCCTGTCAAACCAACGTGAGTGACGCTGCGGGTCCCGATCCTCTCCCACTGTCCCTGAAGGTCCACTGAGTGCTCAGGGCCCTGCGCTCTCAGGAGGCTCCGCGTCTCCATCTCTGCTTTATCTCCTACCTGGGGGCATGCCAGCCCTGTGCTTCTCTGCCCAGTGCCCACAGACTTACTGAGGGGGTGCAAGCAGGGTGCTCCGTGGGGTCTCCCACAGGAATGAGAGAAGAACCAGGACCTCGGGGCTGCAGACAGCCCTGTCCCAGGCCTGAGCAGCTGTCCAGACCTGGTGCCTAGATGACTTTCTGATGCCTGGGGTTTCCTCCTTTTCCTGTCTCCCTCTCTGCCTGGCAGGCTGGAGACGCCAGGGCAGGGAGGCAAGGAGCCCAGGACCCCGCAGAGGAATCCCCTCCGGACAGAGAAGTCCTGTCTCCGCCGCGGTTCTGGAAGTCTGTCCGAGGATTACACTTCCTCTGCCCCCCGCCCCCCAGGCCGCAAGGACCCTCACCCCCCCACCCAGGGTTAGGAAAGTGCTTCCCCTCCACGTGGACACATGACATACTGGGGTCGCCAGCAGCCCCCGGGGCTGAAGCCAACAGCAGGGAGACCAGAGAGGGCCGCTTAGGGCTTGGCCTAGAGCCAGCAGGTGATGGAGGGGTTTCCAGGGAGCCCCCAGCAGTCAGCCCCCACCTCAGCCGCGGCTCCCAGCCGGCCCAGTACGTCCCCACGGTTCACTCCACCCTCGCTTGGTGACTCCCAAGGCCACACAGCAGCAGGGCCTTTCAGGGCTGTCCCGCCTCCGGGCTTTGTGCTGCCCGTGGACCAGGGCGGGGTTCCAAGTCGGCTGCCTGCTGCCCGGACTTCAGGCCTTCCCCCTCATTCCAAGCTCAGGGGTGAACATTGCAGTCTGTGTACGTGTCCTAAGGACCCAGAGTAGCGGCTTCTGGGACCACGGGAACACCTGCCATCCCAGGGTCTGTGTTGCTTGGCTTCAGCCTGGGGGCTCCCTGGGGGCCAGCGCTCCCCCTTAGGCAGCCCCCTCCCCGCAGCCCATCACGCGGGGTCTGCTGTGACACAGCCGTCCTGCGGTCTGCTCATGGCGCCAGCTGGCCCCCAAGGACTGCTGAGGGAACCGACCGTGCAGACCGGGCTGGATGTCCCTCAGGGACACGTCCTGTCCCCCACACGGAGCCCACACCTGAGCCCGATGGTGCCAGGCTGTGTGCTCACTGCTCACAGATCAGGCCCCTGCCCCGCGACACAGGCCCTGTCGAGCCACGGAGCACTTGGGCTTGTCCCCTGTGAACCCTCTGGCCCGCCCAGCTAGGCCACCTGGGCATGGCTGCTGCCGTCAGCCCACAGAAGCCTCATTTACAAGCTGCATTCCGGCACGTTCTCTCCCTGCAAGGCCGACTGGCACGCTCACACCCCCTGTGTGCTTAGACGTGGGCAGAGAGGGGAAATTGGATGGTGGCGTGTGGGGACGCCGGGCTCCAGAGCAGGAAACAGGGCAGAGGCTTCCTGCCCAGCGAGCAGGCACGAGGGAGCAGACGTGGGCAGCTCCGTGCCAGCCTGAGGTGTGGACCACGGCGTGCAGCCCAAACCACATCACCCACTAGCTAAGCATCTCCCATGGGCCCACATCCACTTCCCTTCATCTTCCAGGTCCCACGAGCTCAGCGTCACTCACCCAGTTACGGGGATGGAGCCGAGGCCAAGAGAGGGCAGGGGAGGATCTCGGGGGCCCAGTGCAGCTCCCACCTGCGCCCCCCGTGCCCCCGTTCCAGGTCTGAGCTGCTCCCCCACAGCCTTTCCAGGGAGGAGCCCCCTCTGATCCCCGACAGGGTCCTCAGCTCCACAGCCGGGGAGTCCTGAGCCACAGTGCCCTGAGGGGACCTGGCTACTGGCAGCCTCCTGGGGAAGGTGGGCCAGTGTGCTTGTGGCAGCTTGTGGCAGCATGTGACGGGGGATGTGGGGGGTGGCCGCTGAGGGCAGGGCTGCCAACGGCCCGGGACCCCCAGGGCCTGCGCCCCTCGGGGAGCTCGCACCCTGCCCACCGTCTGCCCGGGTGCCTCCTTCCTATGGTGTGTGCCCCACGGCCCTTGGGGCCCTGCACAGTCATCACCCCAGCTCTGCAGCCGTGCCATCTGTGCCCGGGCACTGCCGCTCTCACGGGGTCCTGTCACTCTGGGAAGACTCAGTGCATGGAAGGAAGGCAGGGTGAGGTTCCAGATTTTGAGCAGAAGGGACACACGAGCACATGCACACGTACCACGTCATTCTGTCTCTAAAACTGACTCTAACTCTTACCTTTTAAACACACGAAGTAAGTCGTCTCACTTGTAACTTTTGTACAGGAATTTCCCACGAGCTGGAGAAGAGAAGGGTGGCAGGTCAGAGACAGGGAAGGGGGTGGCGTGAAAGGAGCCGCCCTCCCCTCCTTCTCATACTGAGCCTGCACTCACCGAGTTAAGCATGCGGTTCAGAGACAGGAACCGCTCTGCCTCGTACACTTGAGATGGCGTCTGAACAATATTCCTCAGCTACAAAGGAGACGAGGTGAGGTGGGCCACAGCCAGAGGGTAAGTAAGAAATCCACATCCCAACAGACAGTTTCTCATCTCATGCGGTGTTAGATTCCGAGGGCCAGCCCCTGCCATCAGCCAGCACCCACCCTTAGGGAAGTTGGAAATCCCTTCCACCTGCACCTCTGCTGTGTAGGCCTTACAAGCGTGTTATTCATTTCCGGAGTGGCTATCTGTAGCCAATAGGGGCGGGTTAGCATCATCGGGCAACCCTGGGAATAATGCCGTTGAGAGCTTTTCTCATCTAGGCTCACAGGGGGCACCTGGTTACCTGCTCCAAATTACCTCCTCTTTCTTATAGTCCTTGTAAGCCACAAAATACACTGTGCTCTTCATCCTCACAGCCTTGCTGACCTGAGAGAAATAAGGCTTTCAGTATAAAATACCTGAGTACATGCAGTGAAATGCTAGTAATTATGGGCTGGACTCACTTCGAAATTAATCATTGGTAGTGACGTGGATGGTATCGGAGCCGTGGTCACAGTAATAATCAGGTTGGAAGTACTTGGGCCTGCGGAGGCAGCAGGGGGCATCCTGGTCAGCCAGGCCCCCAGGGCGACCCCACAGGCTGCCCCGCCCCCCAGTCCTGCAGCCCAGAGGCCGCCCCAGGGGCCCGCCAGCAAGACGCCCAGAGGGACAGGAGGCTGCAGCCAGGACCTGCGTGACCCAGGGCAACACTCAGCCCTTCCCTGACCCTGCCTCCTGAACCAGCGCCGTGACCAGACGTGCAACCGTGGCCCGCACGGTGACCCCAGCCACGTCCCTGGACAGGCGTCAGCCTCTCAGGTGAGCAAAGGGATGGACAGCCAGACTCGACTGTACCAGATGCCCGCAGCGCAGTGGGAAGCCTGGCCCTGGCTCCGGCTCCGGCTCCGGCTTGGGGCAGCACCTGCGGGAAGTCCTGCTGGGTCTGCAGGCCCAGGGGTCCACTCCTGGGCTGCGGGGCCCCCGCCAGCTCAGCGCCTTTCCCCACCAGGCCCTCCTTTCCTGGCAAGGGCTGCCACCCCACAGTCCAGATGACTGTTCTGGCGGAGAGCAGCCTCGTACAGTGTTGGAGACACAGTCACGGGACAACGTGTGCCAAAGGGAAGGGACTGAAGGGAAAAGGGATCAGGGCCAGAGATGTGATCACATAGTGTGGGCAGCAAGAGGGAAACCCAGCACTTTTTTTCAAAAACTGGAATTTTGTCTGCTGCAGGTCCCCCGGCTCCTCCTTTCTTGGCGAGGCAGCCAAGGGTAGGTCACGCACCTCACGGTTACCAAGAACTAAGGAGGTACGTGCCCGGTCCCAGGGCGTTTTGGGTGGGGGTGGGGGGGTTCTATCCTTGCTGCACAGAGGAGAAAGCCGAGGCCCATAGAGGACAGCACCCTGCTCCATGGCTCAGTGCCGGGAAGGGGCCCATGAGGGCCGCCTCAGACCTCGCTGGCCCGGGCCTGGCTCTGTCCCCACACCTGCCCACAGTGAAGTCACTGGGCAGCTCACCTCCAGAGTTTGCCTCTTCGATCTGCTCGTTTACCTGCAAGGAAACAAAGCAGCATTGGGGGAGGCCAGTGAGAGGACCCAGGAATGCTGTAAGGACGCCACAAAGCACAGGCCCTCAGACCCCGGGACCTGGTACCTTTATGAATCCTTCCTGCATGTGTGTGGCTCCCGTAGGCACTATGTTCTGGAGCTCAGCAAGACCATCGCGGATTTTATTTCTGAAAAAATCAGAAAAGGGCTTGAGGTATAATTTTGGGTGATATTAAAAGCAGCCCCAAGCTGTCCTGGAGCCACTGGGGCCCCATGGAAGGGGCTCCAGGCTCCTTGTCCCCAGTGGTCCCTCTTCCTCTTTAATACCCATCTCATCCCTGGGGCCACTCCATCTCTGCCCTGTTGTCACCCTCCTGCCAGCATCCCTGGGGGCTTCCTAGCCCCTGTGCTGTCTGGCTTCTCTGGCATCCAGAACTAAGCCCTCTTCCCAGCCTACTCTCTCTCTCTCAGCAGAAAGGGCTGAGACAACACCAAGCAAAGACCCAGCTCTGGTCCCACGTTCTGTAGACCCTCCCGAGTCACACTTGTATCAGGTAACACTGTCCCCCCGCCCCGGATGCTCTCCGCATGCCAGGGCCCATTTGGGATGTCTGCCACAGGCCTCCTGAACAACTAGGCAGTGGGGCACATCTGGGAAGGCCAATCCCAGGCTGAGCCTCACTCGAGTCAAGATCCTGTGGGTTTCTCAGGAGCTGGCAACTTTCAGGGCTCTGATCTGACCATGAGCTGTCTTCCCAGCTGTACATCTTGCCCCATCCCCAATTTCACATGCTTTCCACTCTCCTGGGCACCACTGCCACTCCTGAGTCCTCACTTGTGGAGGAGGTCATTATGTTCACTCTCCAGAGAGGACTGGGAGGCCCTTCCTGAGCCCCCCCCACAGCTTCTCACATCTGGGCCCCGAGCCCCCCTCCTTGGAGAAGGCAGAGGTCTCCCCCTCCCCAAGAAGCAGTTCCTCCCCCAGAGCCCCCTGCCCGGCAGCCTTGCAGCTCTCTGCCACCTGCCAGCCTCCCTCCCAGCGGACTTGTTTCCTGCCACTGCAGACTCACTCAGGTCTCTCTGGCCTGGACACAAATCACACACAGGCACAGATGCACACCTCCACTAGAGCCTGGCACCCAGCCCCTACCCCGCATGTCCTGGAGTCCGACTGTGTGCAGTCTCCGTGCACTGACATCGCTAATTGCTGCTGCTCCTGGCTTCTCTCCATGGTGCTGAAAGGGGTGCTTGGCCGCAAGGATGGCCACAATCAGCCCTAAGGATGCTCAACCTCATTTAGGACTTCACCCTCTGATTTGGGGTCTAGTAATGTGTGTTCTTGAAAATCTAACCTCCTTGGTATTCAGAGACTCCATACCTTCTCACCTGCAGGCTTTTGGGCAAACTGTTGTGTCCACCATGGACCCTGTGGATGTGGGTATATCATGCCTTTCTCCAGCACCCTATCCCACCTTGGTGTTCAGGACCCAGTCATGGGCTCCCCTGTCTCAGACCCACCAAGGAAGGAAGCAAGATCCCTTTCACCTAGACCATTAACACTTCAAAGCCATTCATCCCTTCCTCCTTGGTTATGATTCTATGTCCCTGTTATCCCCCACTGTCCCAGGGCAGAAAATAAATCAGGAGAGCAGGTGCCCAACATGGATCGGTGTTTGTAAGGAATCTTCATGCGTGCCCTACACTTTCCAGGGAGTCCTCACAGCCAGTCTGTTCTATGAACAAGAAAGTGTGCAGATAGAAGGGACTCGGGATAGATGCAGGAGAAGCCTTACAGGAGTGGAGATCGTCTGGTTGGGCAGGGTTGGCCCTGTTAGTGCAGCCAGGGGGCAGAGAGGGCTGGTGAACTGGAGCTGGGGGTCAGGGTGCACAATGAGGGGAGTCCAGACCTGCCTAGCCTGCACTCCAGTGGGCTTCCCAGGGAACCTCTTAGTTTCCTGGCTTTCCCCAAGGCCTGGCCCTCCAGGATCAAATAAGAACTTACTTGTCTGAGGTGAGTTTCATGAGCGTGCGGCCCTCTGTGGAGTAGGTGATGAAGGACACCCTCAGTTTTGGGCTGGGGAGGAAGCATTTGCTTGTGAGAAGCCATTGAAACAGGCTCCAAATGAAACCAAAGAAGTTCAATAAAAACGGGTTCAATGCAACCAGGCAGGGCATCTATGCCCATTTCCATGCATCCCTCCACAGTTCTTCTCCTCTGTAGCCCATTCTCCAAATCCTAGAAGTTCTCGTAAATTTGGTGCAAGATTCAGATGCCTGTTAGTTGTGCGGCCTTCAAGGCAGAGCACCAGAATAGCATCCTGTTCCATCTTTATACTCACAACACCCAAAAAGTCACACAACAGACACAAAAACATACATAGGCATAAAGATAAGGCTCATTTGTGCTACATGCACAAGGAGGTAGACTCGTTTAGTACTTCACCCTCTGATTTACTGTTTAGTGCTACTCGTTTAGTACTACACTCCTGCATGAGGTTCTTATAAGTGGCCTCTTTTGTACTGTAAAATTCTTTGGACATTCATCCTTTTCCCTGCTCTGTACCTTTCTTACCTTTCTCTCATCTCCAAGAGATTATTCTTGTTTGACAGCCATTCATGTACATCCCTCCCTTTCTTGCTCTTGGCCTCTGTCTTTTGGTCTCAATACCTCTTAGATAAAATGCTACCGTAGGCCTCTAGCTCAGCTCCCTACTGCTCTAGCCTTTTGTTCCAAGACATTTTACTACTATTATCAGATATTTTTCCTTGGAGCACCATCTTGATCAAGTCTGTTCCCTGCTCAAGATCATCTGTAGCTCCTTTTTGCTCACAGCAGGAAATCTGAGCCTTGTGGCCAGGTACTATGGGCCAACATGGCCTTTGCCCCAAGCTGAACTGTCCAGTCTCATCTCCCAGCAATTCCCTGGGTTAATCCTACTCTTCAGCCAAACAGACCACTCGCTCCATAAGAAGTCTCCCTGATGGTTCCTATTACCCTGTCTTTCCATCTGTCAAAGCTTAGTTAATTTGCCACATCTTCCTGGCAGCCATCCTTGAATTAAAATTCTTCCTTTTTTTTTTTAAGCTTGTCATATAAATCCTTTGCTTTTCTTACTGGTTTTCCTGTTTCCCAATCTGTGAAGTCCTCAAGGGCAGACCATATCCCCAGCATTATGGCCTGACTCTCAGGCAGGAGCCAGTCAAAGTTGCCATGACCCAATGGAAGACTGTGATCTGATCTTCTTTCCTGCTTCTAGACACTGCCCTGGGATCTGTGCTCCTGACCCGAGGGGTGCCCATGCCCACCGAGTCAAAGAGCTGTGTACTCTGCCTGGCAGAGGGAAACACAAGCCTACTTTGGGTACTTCTTCACCATTTTCTCCACAAAGGTGTAAATGTCCTTCCAGGAGTCTTTTGCAGTTTCTGACCTGAAAACCAAAATGGCATTGATCAGAAGGATTATGTGCCTCCATCAGGGGGGGCAGTATTTCTGCCTCCCTACCTCCCACAGTCCCTTTAGCAAGCTCATCCCCAGCCCACATAGGTGATGTCTGCCACACACTCTCAGCAACCTTGCTGGGTCACCTTGGCAGTGACTATCATCAGTGTAAGCAGTAGGGAGGATGACCACATAGACCATGCTTGAGGATGAGGGACTTCTGGTGAGACTCGGATGGTTGGTCATGTTAGCTGGGGCTTCTAGGCAGGGAAGGAAGGAGGATGGAAAAGTCCCCAGTGATTTTGATACATTATTCTCTTGGCCCCTCACTTACCAACACATTAGTGGGAACCCTGTCTTCAGCCACAGAGATGTGTTACTCAGACTATTTTATTTTCTTCTTTCCCATCAGCCTGCAAAGCTGAGCCACTCTGGATACAGAAAACCTTTTCAAGCCCCACTACTACGGGAGGGGCTGGAACAGGCCCAGGATAGTCCTGTTCTGGTGTCATCATGCTTCAACCAGCAAGGAAAGTCACAGCTCCCTTCTGTCCCTACTTTCAGCTTCTCATTCCTATTGGCTTCCACTTTAGTTCCTTTATGCACAGAATCATTCTTCAAAACTTGGGTGAGGTGGTCAATCTCTGTGTTTTTTCTTTCTTTTAAAAAAATTTTTGTGGTGGATTTATATTTGTTTAATCTCCTGGTATTCAAGGAAATCTCTGTCTAAATATTAGCATAAGTTAAGCAGAATGGAAGACAATCCAGTGATCACACCCAACAAGGAATATTCTTTATAAGAGTAGTTTGGAAAAGTCTCAAAACAAATGGATTGCTATACACTTATATAGTAACAAACAAAACCAAAAATGCCTTCAAACAAATGTGGACTTCTGATTTATAGAGTTACATAATAATTCACAACCCAATTATCTACAACAAAAAAAATCACAAAACATACAAAGAAATAGGAAAACACTGCTCATTTAAAGGAATTATATAAATTTACAGAAACCATCCCTGAAGAACCCAGGCAACACACTTATTAGAAAAAGACAAAACAATTATTTTAAATATGTGCGGGGGCAAAAATCCAATAAAGTAGGTAAAAAGCTTGAAGAGACATTTTTCTGAAAAAGATATTCAAATGGTCAAGAGTAACGTGACAAGGTGCTCAATCAACATCACTAATCAGGGAAGTTTAAAACAAAATCACAGTGTGATATCACCTTAAATCTATTAAAATAGCTATCATTAGAAAGACCAGAGATAACAAGCACTGGTGATGATGTTGAGAAAATCTCCCTGATAAAGAGAAGCAAATTGGGAGAATGTAATCAGGATGAGTTAACCCTCTGGTATCATTCAGACAGCAATCCAATTATTTGTACAATTAAAAAAGCTGTTATGTTATAAATTGAGTCTTTATGAGAACAGAAATCTGCTCTAGAAGTGATTCAAAGCCCACTTATCTTTTTTTCCCCAAACAATCTCAAGAGTAGAGAACTGAGCACTATTGATTCCAGGGCAGAGCTCGAACACTTGTTATCACTGTGTCTTGACATTAGAGTTACAGAATATACCACACTCAGTACTGCATGGATATGCCCTTAAGTATCATCAAAGTTTTAATTGGAATACCATATTTGAGATTACACATAAAATCACTATTCTTGCTTCACTTATGCAAATAATCAAATCAGTTTAATGAGACTAGAGTGATTTTGCAAACAACTTAGTCTTACTGTGATTATTTTTGCTAGAAATTGGGGCAATTGTAGAAAGAAAAATTCAAACTCAGTAGAGAATCATAACACACTCTCACGGATATCAGAATCTAGACCTTTTCATTGTTTTTGAGGTGGTGTTATCTACTTACTTGTAAAATGGATCCTAATTTCTTCCATTTTCCTCCAGTATCTGTCTACAACTCTCCAAACTAATGTTTTTTATTTTCTTTCACCCTTTTGTTTTGAAATTACAAAGATCAAAAACTGTCCTTTTCTAAAGCCCCATAAACTGAGCTGAATAACTTGATATAAACCTCACAGAAATCCACACAATGGCTCAAACACAAATAAGTCACTCAGAATAATCACTTAAACGCCCCATGACATCACCAGAGACATTCAAATTATACAAGATGCTTTGAGCCCACATCTAGAAGCCTAATGTCTGGAAATCTTCTCAACTGGCTGCTCTCTGGACCCAGAACCATAAGCCAGAACCATGGCTCCAACCATAAGCCATTTTCTTTTGTATCCATAGAAATGCCTCTTCTTAGATACCCGACTACTCGCACAGTGTAAGTCTAACTTTGAGTGTCCACCTGCAAATCTATCACTGAGAATGAGACATCATTGTTTAACAGAACTTACCTATTCTCATTACTAAGAGATCGGTTGAATGAATTGTAATGAACTACCAACTCAACTTCTAGACTGACTCTTTTGGAGAAATTTCAAAAATGATGAAGAACATACTTCAGTCTCTTGCTATTATCCTCCTGATAGCATGGTAGTCTCCCTGGTGTGCTGTATTCTCTCAAGGGTCTTAAATATATGTCCACAAACATTATCAGTATATCAGCTGGTCTCACTGCACTTAGAGAAACAGGAAAAAAGATGAATAGATGAACAGCAAAAATGATTCTTTTAATGTGTCTGACTTCATTACCTATGAGTTTCACAAGAGACGAACAGCTTAACCCTAATGGTAACCAAGAGCGGCACTAATACCCAATTTTAGGTTAGTCTGTCTTGTGTGAGAGGATGACCAAGAAGGAGGAATTATTAAATATTTATACAAAGAGCCATTGGACTGAGGAGGCTCTAATGCTTTGAAAGCCTGCATATGCACCAATTACAAATAGCCAATTAAGCTTTCCCAATTAAGGTAACTGCTTAAACTATAATCATTCAAATAAGTTCTTTGATTTGTTTCCCCGTCTTCTCTATATAAACCTTGACACTGGATCCTGTCAGTGGAGTATTCCTAACAACTGAGGTTTCTGTGTTTCCTAATTCAAATCCATGTGTGCTCAAATTCTTAAAAATTATAAAGTGCTTCAGTTTATTTTTTAACACCAGGAAAAGCAGCTGTGAGCTCCTCTCCCATCCCCAATGCGCCCACAAGTGACAACGTCCAGAGTTCCAATGTCCTTAGAATGAATGAATCTTGAAGCTCTGCTTCTCTCCTCCTCAGGCCCTCTTTCCACATCCATACCACACATGTGGAAGCTGCCTTGGGGTCTCTCTGCTCATTCTCCTGTCAGGGGACACATCTGCCCTGGGCTCCTGTCAGTTTTCTCCAAGCCCCTCAGGCCTCCTGGGACATCCTAGGACCTTCTCCTTTTAATTCCACTCACGATCCTTCCCCCTTGTAATGCACCTACCCCAAGGAAACCAAAGGCTACTTCAAAAGCACAGATTTGATCCATCCCCCCTCTGATTAAAGTCTTTCTTTTTGGGATCCCCAGGAGCCCTTGAGGTCACAAACACACTTCCTACATGGGCCTAAGTCCCCATCATCAACCTGTTCCCTTCCTTCTTCCTCCTCCTCTACCCCCCTCCCTTCTCATACTCTGGGATCATCTGAGGGTCTCACACTCCAGCCCTTACACAGGCCACTCCCTCAGCCTGGAGCTTTCTGGCCCTCAAAGGGAGTCAATCATGGGGAATGGCAAGGCTTACTAATTTCATCCAATTCAACCTAATGAATCTAATGAATAAGGTAGAAGTGAACCACTCAAGACCCTTCTGCAAGTAACAGGCTGTGTTTGCCTCCAAGACCACCACAGGGATTCTCAGGGACCCACCCAGCCTTGGGAGTCTTTGGAATGGGCTTTGGAGGAAGACATTCCAGGGTTTTAATTCCTGCTCCATTTCTTCCCGTCTGATTGCTTTAGGGGTCATTCCTGGCCCTAAGTGGCCTCCCTCCCTCATCTGTGATAGGAGTAATAACATTTACCTACAGTGGAGAGAAGACTCAGTGATGAAGCTGCTTTCCCCTCTTACCTTTGTCCCCAGTTTAGAACCACACTTGAGCTCCCCCATCCAATTTGTCTGGATTCTTCAAGATAGATCTAGAGCTGGCCACTCAGCACCTCCACCCCTACCCCACTGGTCCACAACACCATCATCTCCCTGGATCGCTGCACCAGCCCCAGCTCTGCTCTCCCTGAAGGGTCTGCCCTTGGGCCCTTCAACTGTAATTCTTGTAAAATAAGATCCAACTACTAGCCACCCCTGCTCAGTAACACCCACTGTACAATCCCACCGTCAGCCTATCAGCCCAGCCTTCTCTGAACACCTCTTAAAATGGAACCCTTCTTGTCCCTGTCACTTCATACTCTCCTTAGGAGAGAGGAGAGAGTAATCTCCCATTGTCTAATGTTTTGCAGAAAACTAGCTTGATTGATATTGAGCAAATCACTAGCCTCAGTTTCATTACCCTATAATAGGGAAATAAATTCCACTTTCCCAAGCTTTGAGAGGCTTAAATATTCAATACATTGCTGGTATGTAGAAAGTGCTCAATATTATTTCATGTGCCCCACCTGTGCCCAGAGCCCTTTCCGGCTGGGTTGTGCCCACACTGGGCCTAACAGCAGATACAATGTGTGTGGCAGGATGGAGGCAGAGGGAGCCTTGGATTCACTGCCATTCTCTGCAAAGACTCAGAGTCTGTCAGCTTCCCATGTTGTCTTTTACCCCCAACCCTAAAGCCTAAGAAAGAAATCAACGTCTCCTCTAGGTCGATGAGGCAAGACCTGCCTGGAACAACTCCAAAGTCCCTCCACAGGACAGTGAGGAGGGACTTACTCCAGTGACAGGGGGGCTCCCAGCTCTGTCGGCTCTGCTGGAAGCTGGTGGCTGGGCACACATCTCCCTAGTCATCAGCCTCCATGGAGCATAAGAGAAATCCGAGGCATTGTAGCCTGGGGGGCTATAAGCGGGGCACCCGGGAAGCCTGAGTCCTGTCACCCCC